TAAATGCCAAAGAGAAGACCAATTCTACTGACATTCTTTCAGCGTTTTTCGCATTCAGTGAGCAGACTAGTTCTTCAAATTTTTTATCGGTGCTTCACAAAACCAGTTTAGCCAATCTGTGGGAACGAATGCGACTATTTGGGAATGACACGAAAATAGCTTCTGTACTTCTTTTTGATGCTTTTGACAGATGGTCGCATTTGCGGAATCCTGATGATTTTTCCGGCGAGATCGAGCAAAATTTGATTGCTCTGAAACATGGCATGTCGAAGGTGGTGGGTAACCGGGAACATTCTGTTGCGATGTTTCTGTCCCCTTTAGTCTCTCTCTGTTCTTGCCATCCTTTCTGCATAGGACAATAATGCTATTTTCTTGAACAGTTATGAGGTTGAGTTCATTACTAGGCACTGCCAGCATGTTTGCTGACTCTGACTGATGACGCTTTATATCTCTCTTCTGCCTTCCTATTGTAAATGACTACTTCCCTGCCGCCACCCAGTCCTCTGTTGACTATCATACCTTCCCATACTTCAGTCACCAAAGTGGTTTCCGAGTTTTCCCGCAGTTCAGTTTGGAACAAGTGTATTCATCTAGGCCCCTAAGCGAACCACTCCTCCTTGCTGTGAATCACAAGCAGTGTGCTTGAGCGTTATATGGCTGGGAGGTTTCAGACTGAAAGGCCTTAGAGTTCATTCTCCATTTCAGGTGAAAACCATCAGTCGCACTGCGTCTCACCTCTGGCTTTCATCTGAGGATCTAGAACGACTTTCACATTTCCTTATGGATTTTGCTGCTGATTTATCTGGAGCTAAGAATTTTCTACGTGAAGACTCATATGACAAAGTCACTAATTTCTTGTTATCGCGCTGTGCGCCATAAATTAACAATTTGTGCTAATTGTTCAGAGCAAAAAACTTTTGGATCCATTTCGTGAGCCCATTTCAAAAGAATCTTATCATGGAAATCAGTTCCAGCTCAATAATGCGACTAAGGTACAATTCTTGAATTCCCTTTTTTTCCTGCGTTTTCACAGAAGATAAGTAAGCAATACTCCTGCAGTCTTGGTTCTTCTCCCTTTTGTTTTAATTGCTCCGCTTAATTTGCTCAAATGCAATTTCTAGGAAAGCTATTTGGAGAGATTCTCCGCTCACATCAAATTGGAACAAGCTCCATGGCTATATGTTGAAAACTATAGGGAGCTTGGAAAAGAACCATCATCAGATACATCCGCCGAGCAACTAATCGATTCTTGGGAGTGGCAAACTAATATACATAAGTCACTTGAACGTTCAATGCTAGAGCGTGAACAAAATCCAGGTTAGTATCCAGGGAAGATCATATTTTCCAAAAATTTTCTTAGTAAAACTCTTTTAGTGCGATTAATCGCTCACGTGGTGTCGACCGCCGAAATTGCTAAAATGATCTTGGAATCATTGAAAACAGTGTGCTCTCAGGGTCAAAATTTGGTACCGATCACAACGTTTCAGTATGATCTTGTTGCACCGATTTTGCATTCCGTTCATGCAAAATTTATTGAGAAGCTTGGGATTGACGAAATCGCTGTAGGTTTGACATTAGCTTTTATTTGGTTGTAAAGACCTGTTAGTTCTTAATTTACTGCGCAATTAAGATGTGGAGCTCTGTTTTTGGTGATTATGTTACTCTGTTTGGTGATGATGAGATTTCTCGTCTGCACACTCATCGCGAGTGGTGGGTAAAGTGTTGTAGAAGGATGGGACTGCATCCATCGCTTCAGGTATTTCTACATTCTAGAACTTTATTTTCAGTTCTATGTATTCTCATTTAGGAATCAACCATCATTTTTAACTGCTATATAGACACATGCTGTTGTATAACTTAACTAATTCCGTATAGGTACCATTCGAGGAATCACACAGTGATACACGACATCAGTTATCAGCTTTGCTTACACAAATTGTTGTGGAGGCTTGCAAGTTTCCTGTGACAAATAAACATGGATCTAGTTCGTTGTTTAATCAGTTGACCAAAAGTACTAAGGTTTTAACTGGAAAGTTCGATGCATCCTTCGCTTCAGAACAAATGATAGATGCTTTCGCGATACGCAATGTTGCGATTGAAGAAGAATCCCGAATAACGGAAGAAGCTCGTATGTCTTTGTCCAGAATGCTCGCCATCAACACGAAACTGATTCACTTGTTAGACAAGCATCCATTCAAATTCATCGTATTTCCTACGCATCAACTTCCGATGACGGTTGGTTGTTAAAATTTTGAAGTTACTGAGTAGAAGTCAGAGAGAAATTATCAAAGAAAAAAAGAGATTTCGAGCCTCTTCTTTAGGCCAAAGGGGATGAGTTGCAGGCAGCGGCGATTCCAGCTTGTCTCGAAATAGTCTGCCTCTTTCGCTAGACAACATCTTTGGCAACGTAGACCAAACACGGCTTGTTGAGATGTAAACGCTGAGAAGGGGGGAGGGCACTTACAAGTAGTGTTCGGGCAAATTTTCGACTGGCTTTTCAAACATCTGATTTCGTATATTGAACTAG